CATATGTATCTTACATAATAGACAACCTACAAATAAAGTTAGAAAAAAAAAATATTTTTTTTCAGGCCTCGAAATAAAGGAAAAACAAAAAGTGAAAAGAGAAAACAAACAAGTTTGTAATTCGGAAAGCAAGTTTTGAGACCACCATCTTTGCCGATTTTTCATTACTTTTTTGCTCCGCAGATTGACTTCCAAATTGAGAGAAACGTAGCTTACATAACAAAGAACTAAAAAAAATAAAAATTCAGAATAAATAAAATAATGAGAAAGATAGCTTCCAAATTGACTTCCAAAAAACAATGTTGAGAAAGGCAGCTTCCAAATTGAGATTTCAGAGAAAGGTAACTTCCAAATTGCTCCGAAATATGTATATATATATATATATATTGTGTTTGGACGCACATCGTGATCCGTGGTACTGTGCTTTCGCGTGTGCAGGTGCGTCTACCCTTCCGCATCCATAGAGCAGGGGCATCAACATGGACCGCGAACAACCTCATGCAGCTCTGTCGCCGTCGCCGAAATCCCTATTGCTTCCTACTCCTATCTCTTCATCTCCATCCGCCTCACGCGCTCTTTCTTCTTTGCAAGGCTCTCCGGTGTACCATGATATTTCACGCGGTCGAGGGAGAGGTCTTTTGGATCCACGCGGACGCACTTGAACGGATTGTATATTGGAGACACCTGCAACCAGGCAGCGTTTGGATGACAGAATGGTTGTTCTGCCGTTCCCTCCTTTGCTGAATTCGACAAATGTCACACAAACTCCTCTCCTGAGTCACATGCGTGCAGCCATTGCTGCAATCCCGGCTCTCCCCACTTTCGTTGGCGATCCCTCAACGTCTTCGTTTGCGCAATCCGCTGTGTTTTCTTCTCGTCCTCCATTTTCTTCGCCCATGGGCTCTCTCGCAGCGATGTTGCCGACGCCTTGGTCCGGAAATCAGAGCATGTGCGGTGTTCAACAAAGTTGTTCAGACGCCGCACATCCATTTGGTTTGCCGCGGTCGTTCCCGTGTTCGGGCCATGACAACTCCGGCGCGGTTCCCGTTGCGAGTGTCTTTGCGTCGGATCCTGTTTGTCGAACAGAAGAGACACGTTCACCGATCGAAGCAGTGCAGCCGACATCATGCACTCCGGCTTCCAGCAACCGTGCACGCGATGTTCTTTCCCCGGCTGATGATAGCGAGGCTGGGATGAGTTTCTCGCCTCGATCGCCTCGTACGAGGTCCAGTACACCTCGTGAAGGCAAGCCTCACTGGGTGCGATGTAGACTTAATCAAAAAAATCGCCTAGGTGAGATTGCGAAGGCGATGGGGAAGAAGTTGTCGACTCGCACTCGAGGCTCCAAAGATAAGAAGAAAAATCATTGTTCGTACGAGGACGTGTTCGATCAGCTCATGGAGTGRAGTTCCGTTCASATYGATGAGCTGATGTCAAASTACGGGCCCGRYGAACAATCGTCTGRCCATGGSGGTTCATGCGGACAAGGATCGGACGCAACGGCGACACCAAAGTCGCGAGGTGGCAGACCTCGCAGTGACGCATTGAAATGGCGCGACGGCAAGCCGGGATATTCGGATAATGGTCCGATGTTTGAACGATTGAGCGTGAGGGACCAAATGGCCATGTGGGATGCTAAAGCAACACCTGATGCCATTTTCATTGAGCCGGTCAAACTTCTTCAGATTCTCGGGATGTTCGAGCAAACGTGTCCTTGACACGGGAAAGACGTTGAGGTGACGACCAAGAAGATCCATTTTCCATGTCACATTTGCAAGTTGCAATTCGAGTGTGGGAAAGGGTGCACATGGCGCTGGAGTTCCACGAAGGTTGTTTCATCGGGCGGGGTGAGAAATTCGAGGGTTGAGACTCAATTGTTCCACTCCACTTTGACTGCGTCAATTGAATAACCTCCTACGGGGCTTAGAGATGAGGAAGGTCAGGAAAGAAACTTTCTATAATTTTTTTCGTGATGACGGCCCAGGTTGCCGACAATGGCTGCGACACGTTGAACGGGTTACTAAAAAGAGTTTCGACAAGGTCATCGCTCGATTGCATAGGTCGAACGATCCGTTCGTCGTTTTGGTTGATGGGCGTTACGATTCGTCTCGTGACGCTCAGCATTGTACGGTGACGGCCGTGGATTTGAAGTCAGGAAAAATAGTGGGGACGGAGACCATGCTCCAGGGGAACGAGTCGTCATGGAAGCTGGAGACGCAGTGTGTTGAGAAACTGCTACATCGGTTGAAGGACGAGAAAAACCTCATAATCGCAGAGGTTGTGCATGATGATTGTGGCGCGGTTGACGTCATATTGCGGCGAATGAACATTGACTCACAAAAGTGTATGTGGCATAAGGCGAAGACTTTGGTCAAACGCTTGCGAGAGGCTGTGCGCGACACGAAGACTGTCAAACCAGTTGCAGTCGGGGCTTGCGAGCATGTGCGCGAGGTGAAGTGTTTCACAAAGAAGGAGCTCGAACTTTGGCTCGAATCGAAATGTGTACGCGTGGCAGGGGTGTCCACAAGAAAAAAAGATGAACTCGATGAGATTGTTTGGGGCGTGCTCTTCCCTGACGAAGCAGGGAAAACATTGTCAGATGATGTCGTCGAGATCGACGCGTTGCAAACACTGCATTGCAATGCGGCGGAGGAGGCGAAGGAGTGGTTGTACGGCTCTTGCAGGCTGAGCGAGCGCGCAAAGGATGACGATGGCGATGTGTTGGTCACGCATGTGCAACACCTCGTCGATCATTGGGCCGGGGATCACTCCTGTTGCGATAAGGAGTTGTCCAACCTGTGCAAAGCGGCTGGGGGTCCGGACAGGGATCCATTGTACGAGGCGGGGGGGCGTGTTCATTTCGTCGTCGCGTGCTGTCTTCGACAGTTCGCTTCGAATACGAAGATGGCGTACTACACACGTGCGAGGATGACCTTCAACAACGAGTGCTTCCACTCCGTGATCAACAAGTACGCAACGAAACGCTTGAACTTCCCCAAGTCGTATGAGGCGCGCGTGTGTTGCATCGTTTTGGAGTGGAACAAAAACAAACGAATCAGGTGATTGCGAACGGTCTTCCGCAAACCAACAAACATAACCCATCGACGTCGTTCCGCACGACAACATATATACGCCGCACGGGATACGTCGTGACGCTTCGACATTGCAACTGCAATTTTTGGCAGCCCTCGGGTCGGAGATTGGGCACGTAACATGTTGCAGCAATCGGACGTCGACGACCCAGTTATTGAGCATTATGATGAGGAACCCGATTATGGACTCCCTGATGTCGTTGAGAGTGCGGTGAAGGGTGTTGTGGCCGAAGGTGACGATGTTTACGTTGAGGCGGGAAGCGAAAGTGCTTCAGATGACGAAAAATCGTCTTCCGACTCCGACACCGATGGTGCCGCTCACCGCCTCAACTTTGACGGCGCCGTTTTTTCGCAGGAAGTGTCCGTTGCGCAGGAGTGATAGTGTCACGTAGTACATCGATGCCCATTGTCGTCGTCATAATCATTAGAATGTTATGTCCTCGATTTGAACTGGTTGTGAAAACTGGTTGTGAGAACAGGTTGTGAGAA